TTTTAAATTAAAATAAATGTTAAATTAAATTTTATTTCATTTGAAAAAATCACATCGCCAATAAGCCATTTCAAAAGAAACCATGGAAAAATTATTTTTTACCTTAAAATTGCTAATAATTGCTAATATATAAATAAATCGGTATAGAATGGCCGAGTGGGTTGTTGCTCAATTCTGAGTGCCGAAGTGAGGTTCTATTCTCTGCAGGATAAACCAGTCCGAAAATCCGGGTGATGCTAGCGCTTCACCTGTATTTCTATCGCCAAGGGACTAGATGGCATATTTGTCCAATGCGACAAGTCAGCGGAGCGAGTTTGAGCAGTAATGGTCAAGACTCTTTAAAAAAAAATTGGTATGAATGTGCTGAGGGAAAGAAATACCTTCATTCAAAGTTTCCATATAAATGAAAAATCAAAACTGCAAAACATTTATTTGCTAAGAAAAATTTATTATCTGAAAATGTAGATAAGCGACTACTTTTTTTGCACTCGCCAAGTTACGAAAACTATTTAAAATTAAAAATTATAGAAAACTAAAAAAAGCAAAGTTTAAAAAAATATTGAGTAATTTATTTGATTGCGCGCAAGGTAGCCGAGTGATTATGACCTAAAGGCTCCACAATTCAAGCCCAAGAAATCCGAATCGATTAATGCAAAAAATAAGCCATTTTCTTTCACTAAAAGTTTTCCAGCTAAAATTTCATCTAAGAAGAACATCAAGCTTGAATTGCACTTTATCATGTTCACATCATGCGGATCTTTCTGTGAATAAGAAATGTATGAAACAGTAATTTTTCTACTTTATCTCATGACTATTTCATAGGCAGATTATCTAGAAAATAGCCTGTTTTCTTTCATGATGCCATGAATAAAATGAATGGTATTTTTGAGATTTGGATCAATTTTAAGAAGAAAACCTTTTGATTTTTATGATTTCGAGCGTGAAGTACGCTTGAAAATATTTTTAGAGCCAGTACATACATAAAGACATGAAATGCGTAAAAAAAAGCAAGATTTTCTTCATACAGCACAGAGCAAGTTATATGTCTTTGATGAAAGCCTTTGGCATTGGTTGTTGCTAACTGATAGGTGCTTTGACAGTTGACAGCCAAGATTTTTAATAAAAAAATGTGCAAAATTACTAGAGATATCTTTTCCAGATTTAAAGGCAGTTGCTTTTATTAAATTTCTACCGATGGGTTAAGTGACTTAGCCGCAAAACATTCTGCGGTGAGATGTGGTTTTGTTTTCATTTATAGCTTGAAGCAACTTGTTTTCGCGCAATATTATGTTAGACTTGGATATTAACTCCAATTCTTGATCATTAAAAAATTATGATAGTACCTGGATTTTATGGAACAATACACAACTATTTAATTTAGTTGTCTATCTATCTGATTCCTTTTGGATCTTTTTTATGTTCTTTTAGTTGTTTAAAACGCTGTACTTTTCAACTTAAGCTACTGATTTTCGCTCATTTTTCTGTATTTCATAGAAAAACTACAAATCATCATCTTATATGATTTACGCGGTTTTTTCGGCCAGAATATTATTAACAAAAGAAAATAGCTTTCATTGATGACAAGTATTAAATAATTGTACATTAATCAATCATCGGTTTAATAAGATTTAGATGTGCAAGGGCTGTTGATATAGTCGTTATGGCAACACTTTAACGAATATTTGGAGTACAAAAAAGAGCGACAAGCATCATCCAGTTTACAAATCATTGCATCCCTCCAGTCTTTTTTTGACAGCTTCATAGATGACAAATACAATATTATACATTTCTGTGAAATGTACTTTAATACTTGATTAATTAATATAACAACCTCAGTAATAAGCAAGCACAGGTAAATTTTTTACTCTAATATTTCTTTAATAACGCGGCATTACATTCAAATACATCCGACCAGCATCCTTTAAGTTTTAAAAAGGAATGCATTTTCTTTAGCTTATCAAATCAAGTATTTCCATACCACCGTGAATTTTCATTTTCTTATTTCCTCCTTTACGCATATTTAAGAATTTAGCGCTTAATAGATTAAGAAAGTTGGAGTTTATCCGAAATCATTACAGGCAGTTTGATTTTAAAAAGCGAATGTATAAATATATAAGAAATATTTTATTTAATTATTTAATACATATTTCAATTAGTTTAAATGGATAAAATAAAATTCCAATTTTCCTCGAAACTAATTTAGTAGTTTCATTTAATGTGGTTATTACACACGACGTAATCGTTTGAATACGTTTAACAATCTTTAAATAGCTTGAAAAAAATGAGTGATTGGAATAAGGCCATTATCGAAAAAATCTTTTTTTGAATAGCGGATTACGTTTCTAAGGAAGGTAAACGAAATTCGAGCAATGCTTTCATCGACTGATCCATTCCATAGTTCATTTTTTCTTCCTTATCGCCTTTTCATCATGCTATTTCTAATAGAACGATGATTTCGAACATCATTAGGTCAAGCATAGTATTTTAAAACTTTGTACTATGAAATTTAAATTTTTTCGTTTCGCTTTTGACTTTTTTGATAATAATGAAAGCATTTAGAAAGAGCCGTTTCATATTCCAAGTGGTAAGTATTAATAAAACATGATGTGACTCTTAAGTCAGAAGCATAAAAAATGCCATACTGTATGGGCGAAACTGATTTTAAATTATTCATTTCCGATATTTCTTTCTTATAGTTCGTTATTTCCCAACTGCCTTTGTCATCATCAAAAGATGCCCAGATCAAGCGAGCCACAGTCTTGAACCATTTATTTTCCGGCATGATTTCGAATGCAGCTTAATTGCTTTATTGGTCGATTAGATCAAAAATTGCCATGAAATGAAACTAGTGAAATGAATACAATAAATAATAAAGGGAAAACATGAATCGAGGAATTTGATACTACTGGAACCAGTGGAATACTTAAATAAAGTAATCTGGAGTGCGTTTATTAAGTGTTATAATTTTTAGGGACATCGTATGGACGAAATTGAAAAAGCTCTTGATGCAACTGACTATTTCCTTAGAACAGTCATTCAAGTATGTTTCTTGATTTTTATGGTCCTTAAAAACTATCGCATATAGAATTATTTCTGCAATATTTAATAAGTTATCGAAAGCATTAATCATAGAATTTCACAAAAAAAAAGCAAATCTAGTTGGTCCGAAAATTTTGGCCATTTATAAAATGCCTTTGTGTTAAAATAAAAATCTTTGTTCCAAAAAAAGTTGAATTTTAAAAAGTTTAATATTAAGGATGAAAGTCGTATGCAAGATCCAAATTTCATAACGATTCTTCGAAAAATTCGCGAAGAACACAAAAAAACTTTTTCGATCATTGAAAATTTCTGCGAGGAGTCATTGCAAGCAATAGGAGAAATACGTGATGATGAATCTGAATCTGCATACCATAGTAAGTTTTTCATGAAACAAAAAGTCTATTAGCTTAAAAAAATCTTATCATATTTATTCGAAATAGGGGAAATGCACTTTTTAATTAAAAAATTCATTTCGTATAAATTGAAATTTAATGAATTTTGTGGCTCAAGAGGACGATTTTAAAAATTGAAAAATAGTAATTAAGAAGTGATCTAATAAAACTGAAAGTATTTTGATTATTTATTATCTGCTTGATGAAAAAGATGAGCTAAAATTGGTAGTATAATTTTAAAAAATTTTTAAAAATTTTAAAAAAATAGAAAGTAAAATTTAGAAGGGAAATTAAAAAGGGGCTATTTCACTTGTGAAGAAAGATTGGTTCGAAAATATAAATATTATATAAGAAGCATTTTTCAACACTAAAGCTATCTTTATGCTGGATTAGCCTGCGTTATTTTATCATAAAATTCGCGATTTATACGTTATTTATTGGCAGTCGCTGAGATCAATACACTGCGACTTAGCTAAGGCTATACTGCACTAAACACTCGGATTAGATGAAGGAAATAATTCTTTGCACAAATTCCGCATCTTCCTCCTTTCACTAGCAGGAATTCACAGCAATAATCGTTTTTAGAGTGCAAATCGCCTATTGATTTTTCTGCAAAGTTTCGCGAGAACAAACGCTCAAATTCTATACACTGTTTGCATCAATGTTGGGAAGAAAAACGAACTGTGCGTCTAACCGAAGAAGAAGAATGGTTCCCCAGAGCAACCGAATGTCAGCCTTTTGAAATGACCATAAGGTGGCAAGTAAAAATTCCATTATTATAAGCAGCCAGATCTTGTTAGAAGATTTTTGTATGTCCTAAAAATAGAATTCGTTAAAAACAATTCATACGAAATATAAAAAAGCGTAAAATTTACGAAGGTGTGCATTGCAATCAAAATATAAGAACATGAAAAATTTGAGGCAAATGAAATAACCAGATTTCATATGCTAACTAAATTATTTGAGAAAATTATATGATTTTAGGGAAGCGAATGCACCAATTAAGGCCACATATTCGAAGAAGTTCGTCGAAGAATTGATGAAAAAAAAGCAGGAGGAGGAATGGAAAGAACTCGAAGAAATGAAAAAACTAAGGTAATTATAGGTTATTAAGGTTGGCTTCTTGTAAGCTTCGTTAATAACTGTTTTATAATAAATTCAATTTATCCATGTGAGAAAATCTATGATATGACGATTGAGATAATATCATATTTTATTTGCAAAAATTGCCTTCAGGTTTAGAGCGAAAGAAGTTCCTAAAGTTACTTATGAGCCTCTCTATGAAAGAATGGTTGCCGAGCAAGAAAAAGTGAGCATAATTTTGATGTCAATGAATTTCAAGTTGAATTTTCAAAATTTTGACTTCTCAAGTTGTGTAATCTGTATATAAATTTTTGTTGTGATGGCAAAAAAGGCTGATAAAAATCAATCCGACATTCACTACTTTAAATATAATTTATTCTTGGATCGACGATTTCAACTTTATATTTTATAGGAATTTTGGCTAATTTGGATTAAATTTGGATTAAGTATATAGAAGAAGATAATAAAATAGAGTAAAAAGTTATAATGCCGCTGAAAAATGCTCAAAGATCATTTTTGAAGGCAAAAGAGCTAAGACGGCAAAAAGCTTTGAGAGCAGTGGAAGATTCGCATTTACCATTTTCCAAGGATCGAGTGCCAACTAATAAACACCATTTGAGGCGGTGCATCAGTGCTGAAACATCTGAATGGAAAGGAAAAAATACGTTTAAGGCCTCCGCTATCCCATTAGCCATTTATTTTCCTCCTTATAAAAATGAACATCTTGTGTCAATTAGAGCAAAAGAAAGAGCGGAGAGATCATCGAATCTGCTAAAATCGAGTCGCTCTCCTCCTGGATTGCAGGTTTATTTTTTTTCTAGCACAAAAGCTGTACTAACTTGTTTAATAATATTGCAATACAAGTGGTTAGTGATATTGGTGAACCATTGATTCTAATATGAATAATGATTGCCTTTTTAAATAATTTTTGGCGACAGTTTTTCAAATAAATACATTGCTTACGACAGCAACAATGAATTCCAGCAAGAATCAGATATTGACGGAAATTTTAAAAGACCGTCAATTTATTTTATGGCTTATAAAAGTATATGATTTTATGAGTTTTGTATGACCGATGAAAAGGTTTTGCTCAATACATATTCATCTATCGATTTAGAAAAGTTCAGCCAAAAATTTTCTATTCAAATATCACTGAAACAACGAGAATTGTGGTATAAAATTGTGGTGTGGTACTTTTTGAAAATACAATAGAGAATGAGAAACGGTTAAGAATGAAATCACAACGTTTCACCATTATATTTTCTTGGAGAAAAAATTCATTCAAATTTACTATAATCAACCATTTTTCTTGAAGTTATAATTCTAAGGAACATGCGATTCGTTCAAAAGTTCAACACAATATTCGACATGGAAGACTTTGCGCAACTCAAATCAAACCAGTTGTACGCCCTTCGCGGGTTTTCTCTATTTCTTCTGCTTGCATTTATGGCTATTCAACATTTTAGTGAAAATGGCTTGAATTCACTAGAAGCGTAAAATCCATTTAGTATTTCAGCGGCTATTAAAAGATTACCTACCAATTTTTTCGTTCATAAATTATAAAATTGTTTCATTCGTAACTAAAAAGCTGTTAGGTACAGTGATTAATTAATAAAAGGTGCTGATTAAATTAAACTTTGATGAAGATTTGAGTCAGACAGGATGAGATAATTTACTACAGGTACCGGATTTTAAAAAGTTGCATCAACAAATGTCAGAAAAATTGGAAAATGCTAAAAATCGACCTTCGACCATCATTACACCATTTCGTTTCAAAACAAATGAAAGAATTCGTCAGCATCACGTATGATCTTAAAAAATTTTATCAAAAAAGAGATAACTTAAATAAATAAGCAATCATTTAAGAATTAGAAATTTAAGAATTTCTTTAAAAGTTCCAAAATTTCCAACTTTCACGACCTTTTTGATGAAGCAAGATATATATTTTAAAATGGTATATACCATTAATTATAGTCTTTTAAACCAACAAGATTTCGCGATGCAGCATATTTAACCAATATTATTGGTTTTTAGACGCCGTCTATGCCAAACATTTTTTCGTAATAAAATATTTTATTGCTCTTTTAATAAATTTTTTCGGAAATAGTATCCATTAAAAAAGAAATCTGGATTTTTTAACCTGCGTAAGCGCATAAATTCTACTTTATAAGAATCCATGAGAATTATCATATAATATTTCGTGATCTGCCAAAAGTTTCTGTGTTTGCTGTTAACAATTCATGAGATATTCCTCGATATTTGGTGCTTAATGAGGATTTTCGCTTGCTCCAAGAACGATATTCTTTTTGGAATTCATTTCATCAGTTTAAAATGGTTGCCAATTGTGGTTACACACTAACTGCATTTTTTTACTATTTGCGTGTTCGCATTCACATTATGTTTTCATTTTTTTGGCAATTCCTATAAACTATTGTCTTTTACATTGGTTAAGTTAGAAAATTATTTCAGTGCGAAGTGGATAAACCACAAAAGAATTTTTCTCAACGACGGTGCGTTTCCATGGGGAATCTGGAAGAATCAACCTGCAAAATACGTTTGAACACCGCATCATTGTTAAGAAATGAAGCTATAAGGTAAGTTGTTAATACCGAAAATGGATCAAAACGCAGATGTAAATCTTTTGAACAAATAGATGTGACGAAATATTAGGATCGAAGGTTATATTGAGATGCTAATATGATTCGTACCATGTCAATGCTTTCAACTAATAAGCCAAGTGATATTTCATATTTCAAGATCACATATGAAAAAGCTTGAAGAAGAGAAAAATAGCTCGGCTATGTTTTGGCAAGCAGTTAAAGAAGAGCACCATCTTGCAAGGCTCCGACTGCATCAGAAACTTACAGCTGAATTCGATTCGAATGATCAGCTAAAACATAAATTGCAAGAAAAACGGTAATTCGCTTAAAGCTTTCGCTGTGCAAGATTTTATTCAATAGCGGAGGAATATTTTTTTTTTTTTTTAGCAAGGAACAACTGAGGAAAGCGGAAGAATATCGCAATGAACTGGAAGAAATGAACCGTCGTCTAAAGGACCGAGCATTAATCATTGAACAACAAGAGATGTTAATTGAAAAACAACGGTTTACTCCATAATTTCATTGAAATGATCTAAATTCATAATAGGTAACAACCCATTAATGAGAATAAGTGAAAAGTGGAGAGTAGGTTAAGCTTGACTGTTCAAATTACTAGCGAATGGCTGAAACGCAATAATTTAATGCCCAACTGAATGAATGAACAGACTCTATGACAATCCATGGTTCTCTATGCGACTTCAATATTTTTATTTGATGCAAACAACCAAACTGCAGATTTGAACGGAAATTCGCGAAATCTATGGCTCAGGTGAAACTAGGCTCAAAGCGCGTAACATTTAAAGAAACCACTCAAAAAAGAGAAAATTTTGGCGAAAATGGTTCTTCAAGTTCAACATCACTGCAAAGATTTAATGGAGGGGTTGGATCATTTCATATCAAAAAATAATTGAACTAAAAAATTAGTAGCTTTTTGTAAAAAAATCTTTTTCATTGCCATTTTTCTTGATTCAAAATAGGCAAATCACCATTAAGAAAAACCTAATTGATTACACTTATCAGCCTGCCATATAAATGTATTGTCTCATTATTACTGGTTAGGCTCGCAGCGCTGGCTATCATTTGGTGATAAAAGCATATATGATCACCTATATGACATATGCATTTTTTAATAATAAATTTACTTCTGTCGGAGAGAGGACCGGACCACTCAGCCAACTAGTATGGAGTTAAAAACTTTTTACCACATCAAAAACAAAGCAGTAGTTCGCGGCGTACAGAAAAAATATCAAAATCTCATAAAGTATTTTGAAAGCAACATTGAATTTCAGGCGAAAACTGTGGCATTATCATTATCATCGACATCATCATCCTCTATAGAAGGTGACAAACATAGCTTAGAAACATCGGATGCTAGTGACTGGTCGATTTCACCAAAATCGACAACGAATTCTTCGGAAGATAAATTATCAAGAATTTCAGAGAAGACTGAAAAATCTTATTCCTCATAGACTTATTACTGTTTACTTAATGATTTTTTAAGCAATCATAAAATATCTACCAAGTTTAAAATATTCCATCAGTCCCTCGATAATCCACTGCCCCATAATTGATTTTGCAATTAGAAATCGTTCAGTTAATATGATAAGAATCACAAGAATGCAGCACAAAATATTGGTTTAACCCATTTGGTGCCTCGAAATGATTTTGGAACTATCGCTCGAATTGTTTTCCTTTTTATTAGCTTTGCAAAATTTCATTTCTGCCATCTTCTGCTGCCATTAATGAACTTCTTTTTTCATTTTCATGCGTGTTTTTGTTTATTTAAATTTTGCTTTGTTTCCATCATTTTACCGTATTGGACAATTTTTTTTCTCACCAATTTTTATTGTGAGAGAAAACGAAATTTCACCAAATTATTCGCCAATTTTTCCTATGAGAGAATCCAAATTTTTTTCAGCAGGTTCATAGGAAATCTTGGTGGTGTTCAGTTGTTCAATTTTTTACCTTCTTCGAAGTCATTTATTTCTTCTTGTTTTTTAATTTATTGTTCCCAGTTCAGAATAATGCTCATTTTTTGAGAACGCACTTATTGCGTTTTTGCATCAAATGTGATGAGAAAAGTGCACTCCATCATATTAGAGTTAAGATATAAGACTATTTTACTATTTGTTAACCGAACTACTTTTATTCCAATAATCGTGATTCAAAATTCAAGTAAAGAAGTAATTCAAGTAAATTTTTATCCCTTGAGAAAAGATTCAACAAAAAAATCGCAAAAAATATTAAATCTGTGCAACGATTTTATGTGACCGAAAAGTTGTCGAAGAATAAACTTGTTGAACATTATATACATAAATGATTTTAACTCGAAAATAATAGATATTAAACATTTTCTGGAGCCAACAAAAGAAAAAAAATCTGAAATCCGTTTCATCCATAAATCTCAGCCTCTTGAAGAAAGTGATAGTAGCACATGCTTGTGATGATCAAAAATTTGAAAAGTATATAACAATAAAATTTTGCACTATTGCACGGAAAAAATTCTTTTCTTGTTATCTTAAAATTTTTTAAAATAAAACACGTTGGCACGATAGCTGATTTATGCACTGCGGCGATTAATAATTTTATAATTTCCATTGGAAGATTGCTTGATCTTTGGCACCAATAGATATTAATTTGGATCCAACAAATGCGATGTTAGCAACAAATTCACCGTGCCCGAAAATTTCCTTGTAACGAGCCTGAAAACTTTCGTAGAATTTAATGAAAAAGCAATAATTTACAATTTTTCTGTAATGTAGAAATTGGTTAAAATTGAAATTAGATCGAAAAAAATTGCGAAAATTATGAATACAATTTGCGGAAACTTGAAATAATAGTAAGCAATTAATAGAAGAAACAAAGGTTTTGCCAGAAATGAGATTTAAAAAATACGGTCCATTCAAGAGAAATATCAGTTTCTCCACCAGTTGCTGAGGTAAACAATTGTTATGGACCATTTATTTAATTTTCACCGATTTTTATTCAATTTTAAATTTTAAATAAATGTTCATACCAAAATACTGGTTACTGGATTGCTATAAAACCTGATTGCACCATTATTGATGGCGATCGCAATATAATTATTGTCTGGAGATCTTTCAGTTGCCATAATACCCGGCACTTGTTGCAGCAAACAAGCAGTCTCGAATGAAATAATCGACCGAGATGATGACCACTGGATGTCATGAGCTTCATCGTTGTTTATTTCGTGGGCATCGTCAACAACACCTGAAAATTTCCAAAATTTCTGCTTTCCAAATTCCGAAAATACTGGACGCTAGGGATGAAGAATATTGAAAATTAAAAGTGAATTTTTATGCACTTATTGAATATTGACGATTCGTAAATGAACGTTTTATACTATAGAAATCAAAAAATCAGTATAAAGTCTATAATAGCGCATATTTTTTCCCTGTAAAATAGTTCCATGCCTAATAAACAAATCAGCGAAACCTAAATAAAATTAGAAAAATGGAAAAATTACGAATTTTTGATTCGAGTTCAGTATTGTTTGTTCGAATAAATTTACTATCATTCGACCAATCAAGCACGCTGACATATGAATTAGGTTCCTTAAATATAATTCTTAAAAAATAACTAAGGATTGAAAAATAATTGCATTTAAAGACTCCGTGGAAATTGTTAGACTATTCTATTGCAGATTCGCTATTATGCAGTTATTTTTGTGCATTATTTCTGGCAGAAATGATAAATAAGGAGATTTTCCAAAGAATCAATCCTATAAAAAAGCTGCGACTTTATAGATTAAAGGCGATCCTATCGCTCATTTGTTGCTGATTGAGACGATTCGTAAATGAACGTTTTATATAACGACTAGATTGATGTCATAAGTTAAGTTAAATAAATTTACAAGGGAATTCAAATAAATATAAAGAACAAAAAAAAAATTTACCGAAAACTCAACAATTTTACTAAACTGCCAATTGTCATTTGAAATTGAAAACAAATTCATGTAATGATCCTAAAATTAAAGGAACTAATGCAAAACAAAGAAAAAGGAAAACAAAAAACGATCTTAAATAGGTCTTTTTGAAATAAACCACAGTAAAATACAGCAAAAGCTTTCCTCTCAACCTAAACGAAACTTTTTCTGTATTTTCACCAAATATAGCTTAGCTTTGTCTATTTTTTTAAATAGAATTGTACGAAATAAACGTAACGTAATGTGTCAAAGAGTACGAGTAAAGATAAGCAAAGAAACAGAAGTACTCGAGTTGCAATGGCAATCATTGTTCCACTAGGAGAGAATCTTATATAAGATATGGGCTGGCTTGATTCTTTGCAGGAATGAACCAACGCTTTAGTGCTCCACTGATAGACATTCCAGATGCCAGATACAGTTCCAACTGCAAAAATGAGGCCATCTACATTAATATCAGCACATGTAACACCATCCTAAAAATTCATTGTTACAAAAATTTGCACAAAGGCGGTAAATGATGCAAAAATTTCTGCCCCAAATTTCAACGTATCAGCTGAAAGAATTACCTCCAATTCGATTGATGAGGTACTCATTTTCGAATATATATCCCAAAATCTTATGACCCCATCAATAGAGGCAGTGAAATATTGAGAATTATCAGGGTGAGCGGAAAGAGTCCACAGTTCATTCCAGTGTCCCTGAAATTATTTAATTAATTTTTTCTTAATCTTTTAAACCGTAGAATTTCAAGCAAAAAAAAAAAGAACTGACCACATGAATATAGTTGAATCCAGCTTTCATATCACCACATAATATAGAATTTTTCGATGTTCCAACCAAAATCCTATCACGCGATAGGCGTGTTAAAGTTCTGATTGTGCCTGCGTTCTCATCGACCTATTGTAAATCTCAAGCTCACATTTTTGAAACAATAAATCCTTTTAGAGCTATTTATTTATCCATTATACTCTCATTTTTTAAATTTTATTTTGCAACTTTATTCGTTTTTATTAAGTAAATTTCTCAAATGAATTTGTAACCATAATTGATTTGTTGATTCTGCTTAAATCGTTATCGTTCCATTCGTTTATAACTCGATCTTTACCACCAGATATTATAGATGTGGAGGAGAACTGACATAGTGCCCAAACACCACCTTCATGCACCTAGCAAATAACATATATCTATTAAATAACAACAATCAACAAATTATGCCATTTCTGAAGTTTTCGAAAATTTATTTCCATTAATTCACCATCAGTATACAAATTTGTGCCAAACAAACACTATACATTTAAAGGCGATGAAAATTAGAAATAGTAGAAAAAATAGACAGTAGTAATAGTAGAAAACTCTAAGTAAAAATCACCTTAGTAACTTGTTTAACAGTTTTGCGCATTTTTAGATCCCATAATGTTATCGTTCCATTTGAATCACCGGTAGCTACAAGACCACTTTGTGTGTAACAGCAAGAAAGAACATGCTTAGGCTTATCGCGACCCTTAAACTGTTCAAAATTATTCAATAAAGATTAAAAAATTTGAGAAAATCAGCTTAGCCAATGCTTAAAGGCATACTTATTGATCAGCAAAATTTATAAGATGATTTAGAAAATATATTTGAAAGTTGCGATGGAAATAATTTTTTAAAGCCAAGAAAATTAACCTCGAAAACTGCTGGGTGTTTAAACAGATTAACTCCATCGAAATGCCAAAAATTTAAGTGACTTTTACCGAATGAAAAGAGATATCCTTTTAATAACGGATGAAATTCGCAGTCAAAAACTTGATCATTAGCGCTCTATAATATAAAAATGCTCACTGCAAGCAATCGTCTTTATATTCAAATTATACCTTTGGAACTCATAAATACTGTGGTATTTCTTGGCGATATATTTCTTAAGTAAACTCGAAAGGTAATTTACCATCAGATCTAATCTCAGATCACTAAATTTCTGACAATGACTCCAAAATAGTTAATGTTAAATAGTTAAATAGCTTTCTAATTATATAAGCTGGATAAAACAACAACTAAACAATCACAATTAGAATCAGTACCACTTATCAATAAATTCCTTTGATACTAACAATATAATCTTGAATTAAAATTGACTTTGATTTCTGCCACTTTTATTCCTCGTTCCCAGTTCCACACGCTTAAAACATGGTCATACGACTCATCAATTGCAGCAAGCAATGAACAATCATCCACATGACTGAATGATACACATGATATCCCTCGCTGAAAAACATCGTCTGCAGTACCGATAGTACGAATCGTCTGTAGTGTCACTGAATCCCAAATACGAATGTGTGCCTGAAAACGCTTTTCAATTTTTTTCATATGTTTGAAGCCAGCAGATCAGGTACTTTTACATTATGAATTGCAGAATCATCAAAAATTTGAAATGACCTGAGTTTGGTCAGACTTCAAGATGCAATCCAATTCAACCGAGGAACATATAGGCATTCGATGTTCACGTAAAATCTGAATAAATGTCACATACATATTTTCCATTTTTACAGTACTCACCATTTCTGGCTAGTTACAATGGTGAAAAGTTCTTCGCCAAAGAATTTGAGAAGCTAACGGGATTATTATTTACATTACTAAAAGAAAAAAGTAAAAGATGTGGAGTTATGATAAACGGGGGTCATCTTTCGAATTTTTTGACAATGGAATCTGAACAAAATTTTATTTGACGAATCAATCAGAAAAAGAAAGATTGTGAAACATTCCATACCAGAACACTCCAAAAATTTCCAATATTTCTAAACTTTTGCTGTCTTCATTAGTTTTTCACTGTTATATCATTAGCTATTTGAGACCTGGATTGATAAGAACAACATGCACATCTTCTGACATGAAATTGGTATGGCGGAAAAAGGATTGGCAACATTTCTTTCCAACATCAAATCTCTTCATTCTAATGAAGAAACTATTGGGGACTTAGAAAGCCTCAACCTTCTAGCCAGTGAAGTAAACCACAAATGGTATGCACTATTAGAATTTTAGCCAGCTTATTTTTTTTTCATGTATTTTTCTTAAATGTATTAAACAAATAAAAATGAAACAACCATGCCGAAAAATAATAACAACAGAACCTTTTTTTGACAGGTATGTCTCGAAGTTTGACCTGTAGCGATGTATAATCTGTTCGGATGAACTGCAATACTGGAAAAAATATCTCTTTAATTTTTCATTCATCTATAAATATTCAATTATCGTTTCAAAGCAAATAATCAAAAGAACTCTCAAATTTAAGAAATTAATTCAATCGAATTCTGTTACGCACCATTTGATTTCACTAGTATGTTGCGTATAAAATCGTTGAATGCCTTCATCAGGATTGTGAAGAACAACAATGGCACCAGTAAAATAAATTATTTCGCCCGTTGGCAATTCATGAAGATTTTTTCGTGAATCCTTACCTCTATATCTGAATTAAAATCTTCATTATCTTCATTAGATTTTTCAATTTCATCGACTGAATTATATCAGAATTAAAAAGAACAATTTTTTAAACTTCTAAACCAAGATTGTTGGATTAAAGTTTTCTTACCCGTGAACCCATTCCAACTTTGGATGTAACTGCGGTTCTTCAGTTTCATGCAAAAGGTCGATCGATCTGATGTGGCTCGGTACCGCTAGCAATATAGACTTATTTTTCATAAATACTTGCAAAAGACGTTGTTCTGGTAGATATATAGGATCACGCATTCCATATCTGGATGAATAGCAGTCAGCAAATTATAAAAAAAGGATTGTTGGCCTTAATACAGAATAGTCAAAGAATAATTGATCTGGGAGATGACCAGTCTTTTACAGTAACAGTCAAATTATGTGTAGCGCACTTGTTTTGCTAACATATATAGTAAGTCGATTCAATAATTTTCAACCTTAAACAATACAGTCAAGAGCAACATATACTAATATCTAATAATAAGAGTAAAACTAATACCTTAGTTGCGACAGAGATCTGTTTGACGCATTAAGGCTGCTAAGAGATCCTAGTCTGAAATTTCGAAATTATCCTCTTGTCAAAATACTTGATGAATATTTGCATATTTCAGAAGGGAAAGAAAATTTTAATGATAATCCATTTAGCATAATTTCTCGGATTAATATAGCCATGACTAGTGGATCTATCAATGACTCACGGAAAAAACTGCATTAGCTTCCAACCATAATATAATCAAGAAACTAAATGATAATATGCGACAAACTTTGTAGACAATATACTTCGCATTGGACTGAATATCGAATTGGAACTGGAATTTTTTTTCATATCAATATTACTTAACCACTTTCGCAGTGGAGTTGAACTAGAGCGCTCACCGAACATCATACCATTGGATAAATTTAGCTGAATACGACTATTTGATCTACTCGGCTAAAAAAGTTATGATAATTCAGATTATTTTAGCTAAATTTTAATCACTAGTTGAAACAAATTATTCCGATAACACATTGCGCTGAATAAGGCATCACATTTTTTAATATTAAGGAATATTACTGTATTCTCTTCAAGTTTCGCTGATTTTCGGGATTCGAATTCTGCAGATGGTTTCAAGATAGAACGATTCTTAGTTGTCAAAATATCTGAATGAGCGGAATTGAGATTGGATATGGAATGAGACAAAATGCGACTGGAATCGTTCAATGTGCTATCTGTAAATTAGTTAATTTTGCGGTTTTATGAAAGAAAAGGTTTGAATTGATGTTGAAAAGAATTTTTTTACTCCTCTTTGAGCGGTTCTTTATTCTCGATTGAATCTCTGCCATCCGTGTCAAACGAACTGAATTCGGCTCATGGACTTGAAGTTTAGAATTTTGTTCCAGAAGAGTTAACCTATGCAGCAAATCCTTAGTGGATGCTCGAAGACATGCCTACAATTCCTGACGATATTTTGCGTATTTTACAAACCGTAATCGAATCATTGCGAAAGATAAGGCAGGGCAAAATGAAAGCAATCTCGCATAGGAATAAATCAAGCCATATATGAGACGAAGAAAATATGTTCTATTTAAGTTCACAAAAATTATTCCCATCAAAAGATATCAGTATAAGTCTATTAATTTACTTTATAGGTAAATGCAAAGCAAACCAATTCATTCTCCTGTGATTCAACTTTTCGCTCCAAGTCATAAATTCGATCATGCATACTTGCATTGCCGACATTGAGCATCTCATCTAAAACTTCTTTTCATCCAATTCATTTTTTTTCGAATAATTTCGATTTATAAAGAAACTGAATAATTTCCATAATTTTGTAAAAAAAAATAATTTTTATTACGGATGATTATCACAAGAAAAACATAGAAAAAAAGGAAACCAGCAATCATTTGAATTTAATTTTCGAAAAAATCAACACGGAAAGAGAATGGAACCGGTTGAAAAAGAAAATAATTTCTTTAAAAAAAACCTATAAGATATTCATTTTATCTCATCTAATAACCAATTCAAAAACAAGCAGAAGATTACCAATGATATTTTTTCTTCTATGAGTGCTCGTCATTTATGGTTAGGCTCGTTGTACTGGTTTACTGGACCAGACAAAATTTGCGGGGGAGCCATTTGTCGATAGAATTACACGTGAGTTGCTAGCACTACCCCGACTTCTGAAAGAACACGCTACAGCCAAGAGTCGAATCCTAACATCAAAACGAGAGCAACAACCCGCTGAACCATTCCACTATCAGACAAAAATTTTCTTGGGATATTGCCGAAGAATATGCAAGCTAGTCTATCATATTATGATAGACAAGCGAAATACATTTATAAGTGAATAAATAATAGTGTTCAGACCTTCGTAAATGTTAAACCATTTCCTCGGATTGCAACAGATATCAAAACTACTAATAGTTTAATTTTTATAAAAAACTTAAAAAGTTGTAAAAAAATTGAAGTGTCACAGATAAATCACAGATCACAGATAACACTGAAAGTCGGGAAAAAAGAAATCATAACAATCAATCAAAAGTGACAAGAAATGAGAAAACGAAAACGACATATTTAAGCATAAATAAAAAATGAATTTCCCAAAAGTTCAGTTGTAAAATGAATTGCAATAAATAAAAAATATATAACGCAAAAAACCCGACTCAAGTTGTAAATAAAGTGGAAAATTTTGTGTGTGTCTGCAAGAATATCATAATGAAATAACAAAATAATTGACCAATGATTGGAAAAGAACCGTACAAACTGATAAATTGCAAATTGTAACTATATAAATAGTAATATTATCATTAATACAATGATAATGACTTGATATGCCAATCATCAATAGACTTATAGGCTCAGAAATTTTATAGTGATTTTATAATGAGGGATCCATTTGATTCAATGAAGGAGGATTACTGTGAGTAATCCCCATAACAAGAGGAAAAAGGAAAAGAAAAGAACTTTGATGAGATCTGAAGCCATTAAAACTTTGTATTATTGTGGTAAACCTTTGACTTTTCCGGAAAATAAATAATCATAAAAATAATCAAAAAACTAGAATAAAATTAGGAAAAAGACGATTAATAAGCGAGTTAGGTGATTTGAAAATTTTGTAAATTAAATGAAATTTCGATTACAAAAAGAGCGAAGAATTTCGCAATAACTGTGGTTTAATGAAAAATAATAATTCGGGGATAAAACTTACATGCACGGGTACCGTTGACATATAAATTGCTTTGCTTTTGCCTTTTTAGGAATTTATCGATGATCAGAGAAAAAAGCACAATTTTTAAATGATAAGAAGAAAATGTAAATAAACTCTTCATTTGATTTAGTTTTTGATCAATTTTTAAACAATATCATAGCTGATATTATAGTGGTAGCAATATTATTGCTTCTTCCTTTAACAGCTTTCACCATTTCTAGTTTGTTTTACTCCTTTGGCCCTAAGGATAAGACTTCTTTGCTAGAGCTCAGAAGAGCAGTGGATCTCCAGTCCAGACCAGAACAACTTTATATTTATATGCAACAAATGCTAAATATATAAAGTAGTAAATTTATATAAGTAGTAGTAGTAAAGTAGTAAATTTATCCCTAAATTCACACAATTTCCATTTTTTTCTATTATTAATTAAAACAAATTTATCTCTATTTAATTAACGAAAGAAGAAGCGTGGTGAATATATCAAAATCATAAATAGCAACATTAGCTGGAGTTAAGCACGAATGATTACCATTTATCTTCTTTTTCCACATAATTCCTCACTATTTTAATTACAAACAATCAAAATCTTTTTTTAAATTCACACCATTTCTACTCACCAATTACTACACTTTTCATACATCGAAAACTATATGAAGTTAATATAAAGGTTGATAGTGGTTGGGTTCCGGTCTCTGACAGGTATAGGTCTGCTGACTTGTCGAACCAAGCGAATCCTTTCCCAGAGAGCCATCTGGCAGTAGAAATACAGATGAGTGGCCAGCAATTGAATTTTTGAAAGACTGGTTTGCCAGGAATTGGACCCCAGTATCGACGCTCCAAAATAAGAGCAAAAGCCAATGAAATACTTGGCTTCTACTTGGCTTTTATCGTTGGTTTTAATATTTTCATGAACAAGAGGCGAAATTTTGAAAATTCTTTTACAAATTTGTTTTGTGTATAAAAGGAAATAAAATCATAGCGAAAGAAGAAAAGCAAATACCAAATTCGTCGACTTCTGCTCCAAGCGATTTCGACCAAGTACGACGAGAAACATGAAATATTCCATTAGCCATTGGTACTTTGTGAATGAATGATAAAATGACAATCATGTATTCGGATAACAAGAATAAAAAACTTTTTCAAAGTTAAAAATGATAAGAGATATCAAGTGAATGATAGATGGAATAGGAAAAGGGAAAAATATAGAGAGAAAACTAGATTGAACTAGGTAGATGTAACTAGATATTAGATAGTGCTCGCTGAAGTGAATTGTGAATTATTCACGTTGTTGGTAGACATTTTGCACAAACAAATCAAATATATTGTATTTTACGATTGCTATTATTTCTATCTGAAAAGCATTGGCATTGCATATGGTTCTTGATGCATATTACATCCTCAGATGATATCGTATTTCTTTTCATTTTTTCCTAGAACAAAGTCAAAGTATAAGAATGGCAATTGACACTTTTGAAGAGTACTTAATTTACTGAAGAGAGTGCTGAAGAGTAGCGATAATACAGTTTTCTGCGCTCTAATGCTCGCAAAAATATTGAATAAAATAACGATTTAACCCTCAAGGAAATTCGACTTCACAAACATCACTTCCAAGTGGATGCTTTTATTATCCTAAAAAAAATTTTTGAAAAACAAAATTTATTTTTTTGGTCCATAACTTTTGATAAAATTACTTCTCATTACACAATTCTCTATTCACCAATAATTTGTTTAGTATTGAATAAAATTATCTCTTAAAATAAAAAATTATGCTAAATTTTGGGAATACTTATTGTTATTGTAAAAGCGCCTTCTCTATTGCTGTTTAGACTCGCTCTGCTGGCTTATCGCACTGGAAGAAGATTGAGTTGATAGAAGTGCAGTGAACTGCTAGCATAGCCGGATTTTTGGATAGATTTTCTACCTCCGCAGTAGAATTTCAGTATCGACGATCCAAATTGAACAACCCACTGCACCATTCTACTTTCCTTTTATTTTCTTTGTTAGGCCAGCGCCAACCGATGAAGAGTGAGTGATACATCTGTGGATCCGAACCCAATCCTCGATTCTCGGTGATAATTTTCTTACCACTGAGCCTCAAAACACCCCAACCACTTGTCTAAGAGCGCCTTCTCAAAAATTAAATCCTCTAATCGCAATCTATTGACAACCTAAATTTAAGAACATTTACGAATCATGTTAACCCAGCTTTGACCTCACTGCAGTGCAATTCCACTAAAAATTTTTATTTTTTACTCTTACGGCCTTCACAAAAATTGTATCAAAATTTGTTACTTAATACGAAAAGTTGTATCCACCAGTGGTGCAAAATTTTATAAATGAAAATCAAATTCGTAATCCTTCTGAATCGCAATGAGTCTAAATTATACCTAATAAGCATAAAAGCATTTTTGTAGTCTTACAAGCCTCTCAATTAATTTACGAAGTCTAATTGAAAAAAACGATCATATAATATTCGTATTAATATTCAAGCATCAGTACAATTTTTAAATTAGGGCTTTGAGATCGAAGCGTTCTGATATATCGGCAGTATTCTTGAAGAAATCAAACTACATGAGCACTACATGAGCAATCATCTCTAGAAAATCCTAATTTAGTTTAACCTTTATTCAGTAAAATTTTGAGCGTCTTCACATTTAATTCCAACGACAATACAGCATGCATCGATCCTTATCATTGAATAAAACTGTAGTTAAATAATAAAACAAGGTCATGAGAATATCATTGTTCATCACACATTACTGAGAAATCGCGCATGCAATTATGGCGTTACTTCCCATGTACACCATGCTAAATAATGTTAAATATTTCAATGCTAAATAAAATCTGCATTTTTAAGAAAGTAATAGAATCACTGCTTAATTTCGAAGTGGAATTTTTTGCTAATCCATACCGATGCGACATTATAAATTCATAAAAAAATTTTCAACATTTTCCTATTATTCAAAAGAAATTTTACAGATATGAAATGTTAGTAAGAAACTGACAAAACGATCCTAAGAATTAAGTTTTCTGAAGACTACGCAAGGTTTGGCAATATTAGAAGAAACGGATCAACTAATGATAACATAATGATAATAGTTCTATAATGATAGCAATGATAATAGATAATAGCTAATGAAAAATTGAAAAACATGTTTACATATATGTAAAATATTAAGAAAACACTAAAAAATAATGGCCTTAACGAATGAATGAAAAATGAATAAAAATTAAAAAAATGTGTTTAAAGATTTCAATACTTTTTGGAAAAAACAATATATATTGGAACAATAAAATATGATAAATAATAAGTAAAAAGTAATAATAAATTAAATAAATCAATAATTAATCAAAATAATTTATTTAAAGGAAGCAATAATTTGAGACGTAAAAAAATGCAAATTCCTGCATAATTCCTTTTAGTGCAAAAATAATTAAAATAATTGCACTCGCTAATCTTCTTTTATCGTTTTTTAGATAAAAAATTTTATTGCAAGTTTTTATTAGATTTTAACAATTTATTATTAATAAATTTTTAATTT